ACCGAGGCTCTGCTGCAGTCAGCTTGGAGAAATGATTGCCCACACAACCGTTTGGCCGAGTAAACGCTCCAAGCCCACAGTTAGTCTGTTCGAAAGGTAGAGGCGGTCAGTTTCCATTCACATCAAGTCTTTTTTCTCTGCTTCGTGAGCTTTTTCACCCAAGATTCTGGGCTCCACAACTCACCTGCCGACCCCATCAGAGAAGGAGGGCTGTGAATGATGAAGAGAGTCTTGTTTCACTTTGTTTCTTAAACCACAGGACAGCAGTTTTCCATTCTCCCCACTGCCCCCGTAGCCTTGGGCATTCTAGCTGACAACCTGTCTCACAGGTTTCTTTGTTTAAAAACTTCTAGGGTGTTGTCGGAATTCAGCAAAGCCCAGGTAGACACTGTGCCAACCAACAGACTGAGCCGAGAAACGGAGATCCCCACACCGCAGGCCTCACTCTCCTTCCACGGCCTCTGCCTCGACACCAGCACACACCTGCACTTTGTTGTGCCTGCAGATCCCCTCCCCGCCCAAGCATCCTTCGGGACTCAAGATGGTGGCCAGGAGCAGGAGCCGCTTTCCCAGGTAGCTGGCACACTGGGCTTGCAGCATCTGGGCTCTGCCCAAGCTGTCCCTTCAGGGAACACTTCAGACCAGCACCCTTCTAGTCCTGTGAGAGAGACGACCAGAGCAGTCGGCCAGCAGAAGCCTTCGGTGGATGACAGAGCTGTACTGAGCCTCGTGGTTTCTTCACCCACCAGTCTGGTGAGTGGTACAGGCTGTTCACGGGGAGCTCTTGGGGAAATGTCTCAGAGTGGCTTCTGCCTTCTCTCCGTTAGCACCCTCTCCCTGCCTGGTGTTAGTGCTAATAGTGCCATGATAACAGAGCTAGTGTTTCTTGGTGTGTGAGCAGCGGATATGAGCCAGGCATTGCGCTGATCACTTCCCATGGGTACCTACTGTCACCTTCACATCAACCCCGAGAGAAGATAATTCTCACCTGACCACAGAGTCTCTGCTCTTAACCACTGCCACTTAGCAGCTTAAGGCCTTGAAGCTTGGACGAGATGCTTTACCTTGCTGAACCTCGCTTTCTCTTCAGTACTTGTTATTATTAAATTAATATTGCCATATAACACCAGGCTTCGAAAATGCTCGTTTTGCAGCATGAACCAGATTTAGAACTGTGCTATCCAATTTGGCAGCCACTAGCCACATGAGGCTACTGAGCACTTAAAATGAAGCTAGACCAAATTGAGATACAAGCTGTGTAAAACAAACACTGGATTTGGAAGACCTAGTATGGAAAAAATAAAATTTTTCATTAATAACTTGTTGATTACATATGAAAATATTTTGATCTCTTGGGTTAAACAGAGTATATTAACATGAATTTCACCTTTTTACATTTTTTTAAAATGTGACTACTAGAACATTTAAAACAACCTGTGTGTCTCACAGTATATTTCTGTTGGACAGCACTATTCCAGAATAACAATCCACCATGTTGATAACCAAGGGAAGCCAGGCCTGGGAATGTCCTGGAGAGAACCGTGGGTAGTGAGACTTGAGAAGTGTCAGCCTGGTGCAGCAGTAGTCGAAGCTGTGAGCCCAAGCTCTTGACCATTTCACATTTGTCCTTGTGCCATGGAAAGCAGAGGTAGGAGTTGGTATGCACGTGTGCACATGGACACATAAAGCCTGGAGATTTCCCCAGCTGCAGTCTGGGGCTCATGTTGAGACAGTCTTACTTTTTCAAGTTCCATCCATGTGCTTTTCTCCTCTGGCCTAGAGCGTCCAGATCCTATAACTCAGGGTGGGACAGGGCCATGAAGTAGACTAGAAGAGGCGCACCCACAGCTCTTTTGAGGGTCAGGTTCTCCAGTTTTACAATCCTGAAGATGTCTTCAGGGCCCAGAATGTTACGGGACCCTGAAGGTTGGGACAAAGAAGTTGCCAACATGTGCTGAAGGTTGAAGAAAGGCTCTACAGCCCCCAGCAGGGGACAGAGAAGTGTCCCCTAGGAGTAGTGGCTGTGTGCCCCAACATGGCTCCACAGAGTGGCATTGCCCGTATTGAGTTCACTACTGTCTAGGGTCTGGCTTCTGCTTTGCCGGCTCAGACATATTGTCTTGCCAGGGTCCCAGAGCTGATGCGGCAGGGCAGCTCACCTCGTTAGCTAAGCTCTTCCTCTGCTCACCAAGTTTGGACACTCTGGCCTCCTTGCAGCTCCGGATAAAGTATGCTCCTTCCAGTTCCAGGCGTTTTCACTTTCTGTTCCCCCGGCCTGGACCTTTCCCAGCTCCTCTTCCTCACTGTCATCTCAGCCTTCCCTGACCGCCCTGCCTCCAAAGCATCATCCCCGGTGAATCTTTCCCATTTACCTTCTTCACTTTGTCTGTAAGAGTCATCACTGCATGGAATTATATTATCTCTTTATTTGTTTGCTTATTTATTTTCTATCTTCCTAACTAGACTGTTTGCTCCATGATGTGAAAGACCATGTCTATTTACTTCTGTATTGTCAGCTCCAAGCACTATACTTGGGAGAGAGTAGGTATCAATGAACAGTTCTCGAACTCTCTGGAGACTCTTGAAATGCCAGCCTGTACGTTTACACTGAGAAGTGCACCATCAAGTGCAGAGGATGGGCAGGCTGGATGACCAGGGCAGACCCCACGCAGGCCCCAGGGGAGTCTGGTTGCTGGAAAGTTGCTTGGGTAACACAGACTCGAAGCACCTGCTGCTGCGTCTAGTGTGAGCACCCTGGACGCCCACGTGTGGAGTCCATCTCCCCGGGGGAGCTGTGGGTCCCTTCATCCCTTCATGCAGTAGGTAGGCACTAGGCAGCACTGTGCAACCCGCCCGCTCACACTGGCCTGGTGAGCCCCCTTTGGACAGGGCGGGGCTATGCCTGTATGGTTTTCATCTTTCTGTGATTCTATCACTTAGTCCCTGCTCTTTATTTGACACTTTGGGAAGGAGCTTCACTGTCAAGAGCCATTCAGTCTTTCTTTAAAATTTTTTTAAAAAATTTATTCAATGCAAAGCCCCTGCTATGGGCCGAGCACAATGCTTGGTACAGTGATGGAACAGGACAGACAAGGACCGTGCTCTTTGGGGACCGACACTAGATTAGACATCAGAATTGCACTGTGAGAAGTGCTGGGAAGGGAAGTTGCAGGGATGCGGGAGCTCGCTAGGATGGCTGTATTTGTGAGATATGGAGGGGTGTAAGTTGGTGTCTCAGCTTAGCGCACAGAGGACAATGTAAATCCCAAAACGTGGCCCTAATCACTGCCCTATGGACTGCCCTCCCATTGCACGTGGCCCCTTCCTCCAGGTAGGGGGTAGAGGCAGACCCTTTGCCTGACGTAATGAGGACACACTGGACAAAAAGTGCTTTTTTGAAAGCAGTCTTGAGACCTGGTATCTCACTCCTCAGCCAGACCCCTCTTTTGGGTTTAGCTGTTGTATGAAGTGTCCTTCTCTGCTTTATAACTGGGGGCCCCAGTGTGGGACATGGCCCCAGAGCTCAGTCCAGGCCAGTGGGCAGAAGCTCGAGGACCCCGCTTTGCCACTGTTCTTCTCCATTGCCTAAGAGAACAAAAGACTTTTTCCCCTGGAGTATGACCTTGGTCACTGGAGCATGTCTGACCACTTCCTCACAGTCCCCTCACAGAGGTGCCCTCACCAGTGAGCATCCATCATCTCAGAATTCATATTTGTCTCTTTCTTTCCAGTTCCCTTATCTGCTTTTGTTATTTTCTGTTAAAAATGTTTGGAAAGTCAAGATCTATCCCCTCATTCCTTATAATCCTGTACCAGGCACAAAGAAAAATGACCATCTAGAAAGCTTTGTAGGTGCTAGGACAAAGGTAAGCACAGAAGGCCATGGGAGCCTGGGAGTAGGAGCGGGTAGGCTCCTGACTCAGAACTCCCACTCAGCTGACAGAGTCTTATAGCATCTAAATGGATTAAACTGTCAAAACCAATCCTTCCGCGGCAGCCCCAGCCCTGCTCCCCTTCCCCGCCTAGGGTAGCAGGGATGGCAGTCTTGATTTAGCGGTTGGAAATAGCAACATCAGGGTGAGGTTAGTGGCACTTAACAAAACAGCTGCACTTGGTCCCACCCCTTGCGTGATTCATTTCCTCTGTGTAGACAGCCATGCAGGGTGGCCCAGCCATCTTCCTTACTTCTGTTCTTCCACACTTAAGCACAAAAAGGCAGGGAGCACTTGAAATAGTAAAGGAGCTGGAATCCATTCCCACAAACCCCCAGACCCCAGACCCACCCTACTTCCCCCAGCCAGTGAGCAGCTTCAGACTCGGAGAGACAGCCACAGAAGGGAAGGCACAGGGCCTGGCTGCCTGGGGCCTCAGGGCCCTGCTCCTAAGTGGGGAGCAGAGGCAGAGGCGGCCAGTGAAGACTCTGGGTCCTGCTCGCTCATGCCTCACTTATCTCAAACCCTACAAGCCGGGCCAAGAAACTCTACATCTCTTAGACAAATGGTGCTGGGACAACTAGCCTCCACTTAGAAAAGAATAAAAGTAGACCCCTTCTTCACGCCATACAAAAATTAACTCAAAATAGATCATAGACCTAAATGTAAGAGCTGAAACAATAAAGCCCTCAGCAGAAAGCGCAGGAGTAAATCTTTGTACCTTGGCTCAGGCAGTGGTTTCCTAGATACAAAAGCAGAGATAAAAGAAAAAATAGATGAATTGGACGTCATCAAAATTTTTAAATTTTGTGCCTTAAAGGGCACCATCAAGAAAGTGAAAAGACAACCCTCAGAACTGGAGAAATTATTTGCAAATCATGTATCTGATAATGGCCTAGTATCCACAATATATAAAGAACCCTTATAATTTATATTTGTTTCCTAGGGCTTCTGTAACAAAGTGTCATAAACTGGATGGTGTGAAACCACAGAAATATATTCTCTGCTAGTTCTGGAGACTAGAAGTCCAAACGCAAGATGTTGGCAGAGTTGATTCCTTCTGGAGTTTCAAGGAAGAATCTGTTCTACACCTTTCTCTTAGCTTCCGGTGTTGCCAGCCATCCTTGGCACTCCTTGGCTTGTAGACTCACCACTCCAGTCCCTCCCACTGTCACCACGTGGCCTTCTCCCTCTGTGTCTCTGTCTTCACTTGGCATTTTCTGTGTGTCTGTCTTTTCTCCTTTTATAAGAACACCAGTCACACTAGATGAAGGGCCCACCCTACCCTAAGTGACCTCATCTAACTAATTACATTTGCAACAACTCTATTTCCAAATAAGGTCACAGTCTGAGGTACTGGGGGTTAGGGTTTCAATATATCTTTTTTGGGGGATTCAACTTAACCCATAATACAACACAAGAATAAAAAGACAAACCAGTTTTAAAAAGGGCAACAGATTTGAATAGACGTTTCTCCAAAGAAGATATACAAATGACCAATAAGTATATGAGAAGATGCTCGGTGTCATTAGACATTAGAGAAATACAAATCAAAACCACAAGATTGTACTTCACACCTATTAGGATGGCTATAATAAAAAAAAAAATAATAATAATAATAATAATAATAATAATAATAACAAGTGTTGGAGAGGATGTGGAAAAATTGGAACCCTCATACACGGCTGATAGGAATGTAAAATGGTGCAGCCACTGAGGAAAACAGTTTGGGAAGTTCCTCAGAACATTAAACCTGGTGACCATATAACCTATCAGCTCCACTCCTGGGTATATATCCAAGAGTACAGAAAACATAAGTTCACACAAAAACTTGTACATGAATGGTCATAGCAGCGTTATTCATAATTGCCAAAATGTGGTACATCCATACATTGGAATATTATTTGGTAATAAAAAGGAATGAAGTCCTAATATATGCTACAACTTGGATGAACCTTGAAAATATGCTAAGGGAAGGAAGCCAGTTACAAAAGACCACATGTTATAAGGTTCTATTTATACAAAATGTCCAAAGTGGGCAAATCTATGGAAACAGAAAGTAGATTATTAGTTGCCTAGAACTGGGGCGGGTTGAGGGGAGATAGGAAGTGATTGCTCATGGATATCGGGGAGGAGGGACTTCTTTACAGAGTAATGGAAATATTCTAAACTTAGATCTTGGTGATGGTTGCACAACCCTGTGAATATGCTACAACTATTGAATTGTATACTTTATGGGTTCATTTTGTAGTATGTAAATCATGTCTCAATGAAGATGTTTTTAGAAAACTTTGAAAACAGCCTATGTCTTTTCTTCTTTCCCCATAGAAAAGCAAGAGTTGGATCTCAGAAGATGACTTCTACCGCCCACCCCAGGAACAACCCTCAGAGAGTCCTGCACATCGCTCCGTGGCCCCTTCCACAGCAACTCCGGAGTCGAGGCCTGGTCTTCTCAGGCACTTTTCTCAAGGACCGAGGAAAAGCTCCTCCATGGGAGCCTTAGACAAAGCTTGTGTGCCTTCTCCAGAAAGCAGGAAAAGCAAGGCGCCTGCGGCACTGGAGCATAAGAACTTCAGGGTGGTGCACCGCAGGCAGATGGGTGAGTGACAGCCGAGTTCTGGGGTGGCCTCATTGCAGGGGCGCTGCCTGTCCGAAAGCAGTTCTGAAGTCCTCTTTTCCATTACCAGCTGGGTGGTGTCTCCTCACAAGAAAAACCTCATCCCGAAATGGAATAAGGAGCACCCTTGCTGAGTCATTCAGGAATGCATTTCAGAAAAAAATACTATATTTTTTCAAATAATCTTAATAAAGTAATGCTTAAAATTGCCTACAGAGTACAAAGATACTGTTTCATATATTGAAATGGAAAATAGTTTCCCTGAAACTACCCTATAAATCTTATTATACAGAATCCTGATTCTATCTAGAGTCCAGAGCAAACCCTGCCTCTGGAAGGTCCAGGAGTTTCAAGTGCTCCTTCCCAAGGCCTTTATCTTAAATGGTTTATTTAACAGCTCTGGGCACTTTATCAGATCAGCTGTTTGTTTAGCATCCTCCATGTGCTGTTTACAATGAGGCCAGCTTAATCTCCACACCCTGTGAAATTCCAGAAAGCGTTAAATAACCATAACCTAATTTTTCTGTAACCCTCATACATCGCCTTCTTATTTCAAACAAACAGAAAAATGTGCCCTGGAGTCGGTCTCTTTCTCCAATTTTCTGTTTGGAGTGACCCAGCAGAGGATTCTGGCCAGATTCCTAGGGCCCTAGCTTAGGGAGAATGGATAGGGCCCCGGTCTCCATGCTGGCTTCTTTTAGGTTTTCCTGTCAGCCCATGTGATGGCCGTAACCATTGCCAGAGAAGGTGTGCTTTGTGCCTGAGCCGTCAATTTTCCTGAGGAGTAGGGAGACCCTCTACAACGGTTTGAAATCGCCAAGGCTGGTCCAGGCTGGGAGAGAGGGAATTGTGTGCCCTTTGGATCTCTTGGTGGCAGACCCCTGGGGAGCAGAGAGCATTGAGCAGTGTGTGGTACATAGGCACCCACTCACTCACTCATTCAGCAGCTATTTATTGAGCATCTATGATGTGCCAGGCACTGTTCTAGGTGCTAAGGACACACCAGGAAACAAAGCAAAGTCCCTATCTTCATGAGACTTATACTCTAGTGTGAGATGGACAAGAAATAAGAAAATTAACAAGAAAATGTATAGTACAGGCAAGTGATCATGACTGCTGTGGAAAACAATAAATTGGGGAGTGCCAATGTGGGGAGTGTACTGTTTCCTGTAGGATGGCCAAGGGAGCCCCACAAATCAGGTGACACTTGCAGAAACGTGAAAGAAGAGAAAGGGGAAGGCAGGAGGCGATCTCTGTGGATCCAGCACGGAGACCCTGTGATGGGAACATACTGGATGTGCCCAGGAAACTGGAGACCAGCGTAGCTGGAAGAGGGAGTGGAACGGAGGCGGTTAGAGATGAGGTCAGAGTGAAGGACGGCCTGTGGGCCACGGAAAGGATGCTGGCTTTTACTCGGAGGGAAGTCGCAGCCATTGCCAGGTTTCGGGCAGAGGGGCATGCTCTGGTGTATTTTAAATGGGGGCATCATCCTGGCTCATATGTTGAGGGACAGCAGGGAGAGAGAGACCAGTTAGGAGGCTATTGCCATAACCCAGGCCAGGATGACAGTGGACTAAACCCATGAGGTGGTGGTAGAGGTGGTGAAAAGTGGAAGATTCTGGACACACCAGCGAGATTTGCTGATGTGTTTGATGTAGGATGTAAAAGAATGAAAATCAAGGATACGGTCAAGGTTTTAGCTCAAGCGACTGGAAGGATAAAGTTGGCCGCGTTATGAGATGAACGTTAGGAGAGAAGCAGGTTTGGAGTGGGAATCGGGAAGTCATTTTTGGGCATGTTCACTTTGAGAAGCCTGTTAGACATACACGGAGCAGGTGGAGATCTGAATCTGTTCAAGGTAGGGTCCAGCCTGGAGGTAAAAACTGGGGAGTTGTTGGCATAAAGCCCCGAGAGTAGATGAGATCACCTACGAAGGGTTTGTGGATTTGGCCACAGGGAGGACCTGGTGGCTTTCCCGATGGCAGTTTTAGCGGAATGAGGAAACAAAAGCCTGACTGGAGCAGGTTCAGGAAGGAATGGGAGCCGGGGAACTAGAGCCGGTTCTAGTACCTCCTTAGGGGGTTTTCCATAAGAGGGACAGATGAACAGGGTGGTAATTAAAGATGCGAGTGGAGTCAGAGAGGTATTTTTAAAGACAGGAGAAATAGCAGCACGTGAGTGTGCGCGCACGTGCACAGACGGGAATGATCCAGTAGAGAAGCGAGAAGATGTGGACGTGGGAGGGAGGGAGAAAATCCTTGTTTTTGAGTAGGTGGAGAGGGCGACTCCTGCACAGATGGAGAGGTTGGCCTCAGACAGAAGCACAGTCAGTTCACCCCCGGTGACAGGAAGAAGCAAAGTGTGGGTACAGATGCTGGAAGTGGGGGAGATGGAGTAAGGGACATGTAGAGGTAATCTTTTGAGTGCTTTTATTTTCTCAGTGAAATTTAGAAACAGGGTCAACAGCCAAGGGAGAGGATAGGGTGAAGGCACTCAGAGAATGTTCCCATGCAGCCCCGTGACTGGCCTGTGTTCTAGCGGCAGTCACTTCGTCCGCACCCAGTATAGGACCTTAGGCTCCGGAGGTTTGCTCGAGTGGTGAAGGGGCAGGCCCATTGTGTAAAGTTCCTCTTTCTGCCTCCAGGGCTGTCCAACCCGTTCCGGGGTCTCATGAAGCTGGGCACGGTGGAGCGACGGGGGGCGATGGGCATCTGGAAGGAACTCTTCTGCGAGCTGTCCCCACTGGAGTTCCGCCTCTACCTGAGTGGCGAGGAGCGCACCTGTGTCGAGAACTGCTCCCTGCTGCGCTGCGAGTCTGTGGGGCCAGCCCACAGCGACGGACGCTTCGAGCTGGTCTTTTCCGGCAAGAAGCTGACCCTGCGTGCCTCCTCCCAGGATGAGGCCGAGGACTGGCTGGACCGGCTGCGGGAGGCCCTGCAGAAGTGCCGGCCCCAGCAAGATGACGAGTGGGTGAACATCCAGTACCCAGAGCAGCCCGGTGACCCCCCAGAGGCTCCCCAGGGTGGCCTCCCCTCCCACTCGGACCTGCTTACAGAGCCCGAAACCCTCCAGGGCACACAGTTCGATTGGTCCTCTACCCAAATTCCAGAGCCAGACGCTATTAAAGAATCCCTCCTATACCTGTACTCGGACAGGACCTGGACGCCCTACATTTTTTCCCTGTCCTTGGAAACTCTGAAATGCTTCCGGGTGAGAAACAATGAGAAGATGTTAAGTGACAGCCATGGAGTTGAGACCATCCGAGATATCCTGCCAGACACGAGCCTCGGGGGCCCGTCCTTCTTCAAAATCATCACGGCCAAGGCCATCCTGAAGCTGCAGGCCAGCAATGCCGAGGAGGCCGCACTGTGGAGGGATCTGGTGCGCAAGGTCCTGGCATCTTACTTGGAGACTGCCGAGGAGGCAGTGACACTGGGAGGGAGTCTGGATGAAAACTGTCAGGAGGTCCTGAAGTTCGCCACGGGAGAGAACGGCTTCCTGCTGCAGTACCTGGTGGCCATCCCCACCGAGAAGGGCCTCGACTCCCAGGGCTGCTTCTGCGCAGGTGCCGACTTGCCCTCCTTCTGCCCCCAGCTCACCAGCCTCCCTCTGCCTCGGGTGGGGTTCTTGGAGTAGACTCTGCACCCCTTCCTGATCCTCCCCAAGTGCCCCCATCCCACCCCTGGGGTGTTGCAACAAATGAGGCTGTTTGCAGATGTTTGCAGGAAATAGCGTCTGCTCCTCCCCAGCACTCACTGGGGCCAGCACCCCTGCTCGTGGGAGCTCCCTCCTGCCACCTCCTTCTGAGGGTTGGGACCTGTGGGTGGCAGCTCTGTTGCATGCTGCTCTCTGCTTAGGGAGTTCTAGGAAGCTAAGCTTTCCACTGCCTTTGTTATATTACTTATGATCAAATGCTTTGGGAGCAGGGGCATGGTACCCTTTCAAATATTTTTGCATGCTTTTACAAGTGCACACAATTTTTTTTAATTACAAAAATGGGCTCATACTACTCAGTGCTATTAGAACTTTCAGTGATAGCGAAAATGTCCTAGATTTGTGCTGTTCAATATAGTAGCCACAAGCCACATGTGACTACTGGGTAATTAAAATGTAGCTACTGTCACTAAAGAACTGAATTTTCAATTTTATTTAATCGAAATGGATTTAAAATTAAAAGGGCATATGTGGCTCACGGCACTATGTTGGACAGCACAGCTTTATACATTGTTTTGCAAGTTGGTTTTTTCCTAGTTAAAGATACATTATTGATATTGTTCCAAGACAATACATTTGCTATATCATTATTATTCTCAAATCTAACTCTTCTGAGCCAGATACTTTATTTGGATTGTCTCATTTAATCTTCTCAATCACCCTGTAGGTATAGGTGCTACTATTATCTCTGTGTATAGCTGAGGACACTGAGTCACAAGGCTAGTAAGAACCTCGTCCTAAGTTCACACAGCTATTAAGTGGCAGAGCCAAATGAGAACCATGATGGTCCCAGAACCTGTGCTCTTAGCCAGGTCTCCATAGGCCCTCTCTACTCCCTTGTTTTCAAGACTTTGCGATATTCCCCTGTTCCCGTCCCGTCTTCAGCTCTTCTCTCCAATCCAGCCAGCCATTTCCATCACCCTGGGCCCTCCGGGTGAACTGCGAGCAGTTTGCCTGCTGCACAATGCCAAGGCGAGAGTCGTGACTGCAAGTGGTTTAGGAGCTGCCCTGTCAGGGTAGAGCCTGTGGGATCGGAGGGGAAAGCCTGCTTCAGGCGTCTGGAAGGAAGTGGTCTGTGGTCAGTACCCCTGGAGGATAAGAGAAGCTAGGCAGAGCAGAGCTTTCTACAGAAACATCTTCAAGCCCATCCCATTCCACCCCTGCTCACCCCTCGCCCACTGCCCAGCAATTCATACTTGGTGCAAATGCATGTTAGGGGAGCAGCTCTCACCCGTGCCTACCACTTGCCAGCCTGCTGGTGAGACGGGAACTGGGGAGCTTGGGCTTCCTCTCTGCCTGTAAGCACACAGCTCAGTGTCCAGGCAGACACCAACTGCTGCCATTTGGCTCGTATTTCATAGTTAGCAGTGCACTTTTAAAACCCGTCCCATTTAATCTTTGTAATAACTCCACAACATAGGCAGTAGTAGCTGAATTGTACAGATACTGGAATAGAACCTGACAAAAATTTGGTGACGGTCAGGATGAGGCAGTTGTTAAGCAGAAGAGCCAGCCCTTCTGGTCTCGAGGCTGGAGGGTCTCTTTCCCCGGCTCCATGAGAGGCTGGGTGTCTGTCAGGATTTGAGCCAGGCCTTTGATTTGCCCTAAGCACACCCCACTTCCATGCCCTCTGCCCCCCACTTGGGAGGACCACCCACCTAGGGGCTGAGGCTGGGCCCCTCGCCACTGTCCTGAGGTATCCAACAGCTCTGGCTTCAAGCTGGCACCAGGGAGTGTCCAGACTGCCCTGCTTCCTGCGGCCTTCCTACCCATTCTCTATGGCTGACCCCCTGTCCCCAGCTCCTTCCCTGCTTGCCGAGGCCCTGACTTAGTTGCTTCCATTTCGGGGCCTAGTGGAGGGGTGGACCTAGAGGAGGCTGGTATTGCTGAGCAAGCAGTGGGAACGCTGAACAAGGCAGCTATGTCTAAGAGTACGCGCGGGCTCTAGGACCAACGCGACCCAACTTTGAATCCCAGCTGTGCCACTTAATCATGTGACTGGCAGGTTTCCTAACCTCTGTGCATCGGTTTCTTCCGCTGTGAAATGGCAGTGGTAATTCTTACAGTGTTTTGCTGTAAAGATTAATCAATAGGCTTGATTCTGAGCGGTGGGAATATGGGTGGCAGTTGTTCTTGTCTTTGTACTCTCCCTTTTTATCTTTATATCCTCTTGAAATAGCGAGCCCTTTCTGCCTTATTAGTCTGTTATTCAGGAGCTGGCTCTGGCCACGCCGCTGCTCACTCCCACCATCCTTCTCCTCAGGCTGCTCCCGGCAAATTGGCTTCTCATTTGTACGACCCAAGCTCTGTGCCTTCTCTGGCCTCTATTACTGTGACATCTGCCATCAAGATGATGCCTCAGTGATTCCAGCCAGGATCATCCACAACTGGGACCTCACCAAGCGCCCGGTACGTCTCGAACCCAGCCTGTCATGGCCACACAGGGCTGCTGAGTGACAGAAGAATGGTCACTGCTCTTTGCTGCTGCTGTTCATCTGTCGGGTTTGGCTCTAAGGAAGCCATGGTTCAGGCCCCATGATGCTGGGGAGCTGACCAAGAAAAATACTTGATGCTAATCTATAGCCCTGGGCAGCGCTCTGTCCGTGCCTGCCTTGGTCCTCAGTTAGGAGTCTGAGGGTGGTTCTCTGTAGCTCCCCATGCTGCAGACAAAAAAGTTTAGGCACCTGCAACTAGACAGCTGAATGGATAGACAGGATAGATTGGACAGATGAATGGATGGTTGGACGGTTGGATGTTTAGATGGGGATGGATAAATCGGCTGGCCAGCTGGCTGTGCTTCCCCTTTTGTGCAGCAGTCAGCCTTTTGTGTTGTTGACATAAGAACCTGTCAAGAATTTTCATAACAATTTATGAGCCAAATTACGACAGTTGTGGGGAAGCAAGATCTCATATGCTCCGGAGAATGACAGTTTTGCGGTTTATTTTATACATTTGGAATTAAGGAGAGAATGTAAGGAAGATTACCTGAGGGTGAAAATTGGATTCCAGGATAGTTAATGAGATTGTGCTCTTGTGGGTGGTCGTGCCTGAGGAGGAGGGGTCTGAAAAGAGGCATTTCAGAAGTGTGTTAAGGCACACAGAAACCGTAGACAGGGCTTGCTTAAGGCAAAGATAAAGCTTTTACTAAAGAAGTTACAGGCGTGGGGCGTGATGCCCACCATGACCTGGCCAGGTAGGGACTGACGATCAGGTCACCCTGTGAGGTTACTGTCAGTTAGGTTTATACAACGCCCCTTTTTTGTCCACACTGTGCATCTATTTACATACGTATCTACCTTCTGGGATTATCCTGGACTCATACTGCTTTATGACGTGGTTCGTTCACTTAGTATTACATCTTGGGTACTTTATTATGTTCGCCAAATGCTTTTGAATAAGATGTGTTCTAAGATCATTCAGGTTTTCCTCTTCTCCAAATGAGCTTACCCACTTTTCTAGCTGTGTTTCCATGAGCAAATTATGTAACTTCAGTTTCTTCATCTGCAAAGGGGATTTATAACAGTGTCTGTCTTGGGCTTGTGTGAGGACTAGAGGAGAAGCTACCCGCCAGCCACTTAGACAGTGCCTTACATTAGTACCCTTCCCCTCTCCTGAGACCGTCACACCTTCTGCCCCCTCATTCACATGGCCAGGGTTTGCCTCCAGCGGCACAAACTTGACTTCCTCCCAAAGGCACAGATTTTTTCTAAAACAGACACAGAAACACGAGGAAGCTATTCGCTTCTCTCAAGACCCAGGCCCACTGGTGCGTCCTGGGATGTGGACATGTGCTCATCCCAGTGCAAGGGACATGGCGCCCAGCGTCTGTGCCACCCCAGCCTCCACCTCCTGGGGCCAAGAGCCCTAAAGATGTCAGCTTCACTTTGGCATTTTTGTTGGTTACCTCATCCCCACCCCTACCCTCAGTGTTAAGTATTTAACTACGTGGAGAAAATTAAACCTCCAAATCACTACAGATGCAAAGAACTCTTTGTCCACAGAACACACTCACTATTTACAACACCCAGATACTTCTGTTGAGACATCTCCTTATTCATTGCTGCAATTCTTGTGCCACTTCCTTTCCAACTAGAAAATTACAGTGCTTTTCTCGGCATATCTGAGATCAGGAAATATTTAGCGCTCTCTCAAAGATCCCTGGCTTGGGAAAGACAGGAAAATTCAAACTAGAAAGTGGCTGGCTCGCGGGTTAGGGGCCTCTGGCTGACCCGCTTGTGCGAGGCCCGCCTGGCACTTGGCAGGACGTGAGCCCAGGACTGGGGCTTCTTTCTTGGTCTGTCACTTCCACGCCCACGAGATAGAAAACGTCCCTGCGGAGCACAAAGCCCCCGGCTCGCCTGCAGCGCTCGGCAATTTTCCATGCACATTCCTGCGCATTATTTCATCTGTGCCTCACCCATGGCCTCAGGCCAAGTCCTGGGTAGGGCTGGGCCAAGGCTGGGGACCAGCAGCTTGACCTAGGTCACCTGCGCTTTGCCAGGTGGGCTGCCCCTCAGCGAAGGGCGGTACCTCACGGCTCTGTGCAATGGGAAAAAGGAGTCCTCCATTGCTAGGGAGGTAAGAGATACTGGGGGATCTGGGAGACAGGAGGCCAGAGGCCTCCCCAGCCCCACCAGTAACCATCTCCTGAGGGCCCTGTTACGTTCCTGACCCTCCAGGGGAAAGCTGGCCACAGCAGGCATTCGCCGAGTCTGCTGGCGGCCCCCATTCACTGAGGGTACGCTACATGCCAGAAGCGAATGTAGGTTATCTTTTAATCTAAATTTAAAATAATCCCAGAAAGTAGGTTCTTTTATTTTCTCCATTTTTCACGTGAGGAAACTGAGTCACAGAGAGGTTAGGAAAGTTTCACAGGGTCATACAGCTAGGAAACGGTAGAGCCAGGATTCAAATCCAATTCTAACATGAAAGCCAGACTCCTAACCACCACACAGTAGTTGACAGAGGAGACTGTCTCATCTCCTCCAGCCTTCTTATCACAGCAGGGGGTAGACTGCAGGGGAGAGAGGCTGCGCATTAGTTGGTGTGGCTGCCTGGTGTGCAGAGATGATGCCTCAGTTCAGACCTGGGCTCCACTTTCTACAAGTGTGTTAGATAAGCCACTTTAGCTTCTCAGAGCCTTAGTTTCCTCATCAATAAAGTGAGATGATGACACCTTCCCCTTTGGGTTGTTAACGGGATGAAGAAGGGATACGGTCAAGGTCCTTAGCCCAGTGTCTAGCAAATAGTATGTGCACAGTAATTGGCTTCGCCATCAGGTCGGGCCTGAGGGTAGAACCTTCAATGCCCTATCTGTCAGGTGGAAGAGGCTGACATTGCTCACTCAACTCCACACGGAGACTTGGGGGAACCCAGGTGGTGCTGCCTGCAAGATCTGAGGAACCGGGGAAACCACTTGTTAAGCTATGTCTGATCTGCAGCTTCCTGTGGTTGGAGCGTGACTCACACCAGTCACCTGGTTACTGAGTCAGCCCAGGGGACAGTGCCTGTTTCCTTTAGGCAGGAAAATGGGGGCTGGGAGGACAGGAAATAATGGGAAGGGTCTGTGAGGCCCAGATGGTCCAGGAGGATCAGGAGCTGGTGCCATGGAGAGTGGTTTGGGGGTCAGATAAATTGGGTACAAATCCTGGCTCGTATGAGCTGTGGGCCTAGGCCAAGTCACTTCATCTCTCTGAACGTCAGTTTCCTCATCTGTAAAATGAAGATGGCACCACTTCCCTTGGAGGGTGGTTGGAGGGTGAGTGAGTGAGGTGCTCACCAGATGGCCTTTCTGTCCCACCCCCACTGCCTGGTGGTGCCCAGATCTGCCGGCAGGCCCTGAAGTTCTTGACGCAGATACAGACCCAGCCCCTCATCAACCTGCAGCTGGTGAATGCATCTCTGTACCAGCATGAGGAGAGGATGCACCTCATTGGGCGAAGCCGAGAGCAGCTGAAGCTTCTCGGGGATTACCTGGGCCTGTGCCGAAGTGGAGCCCTCAAAGAGCTAAGCAAGAGGTGAGCGCCCTGGACACGGACACACACAGACACGCATGCTCACAGACACGCATGCACACACATACACATGCAGAGGGCCAGTGCATGCTCAAGGTGTCCTCTTGGGAGACGTGCCAGAGCTGGGTGGAAATCTCCTGCCCACTGGGCTCGGGGAATTCCCCATACATTTTAGGAGTGGCTTTTATTTGTTCATGTGTTCATTCATCTAAGCAGCAAATATTTATTGAGAATATACTAAATGCCCAGAACTGGGCTAGGTATGTGGGATACAACATAGAGCAAGGTAGGCCTGGGTCCTGCCCTCTTGAAGGTTAGGCAGATGAATCAGCTGCAGCTACAGCCAGGGCTGAGGGCCAGGAAAGAGAGGTAGGTTCTGGCAGTACAGAGGGGGTCGGCTAACTGGATTGGAGCAGGGCAGAGTGGGGAAGACTTCCTGGAGGAACTGGCATTTAAGATGAAACCTGAAAAATCGGTAGGAATAGGAAGGGGAAGAGAAGCAGGAAAGAGGGTTCCAGACAGAAAGAACAATGTGCGTGGGCCCCATACGTGGACAGAACAGAGAGAACTTCGGAGGGAGTGAGAAGGGAAGCGGGGCATGTGGCGAGAGGAAGGCTGGAGAAGCAAGTGAGGTCCAGACACAAAGGGCAGGTTGCCCTGGCTTCTCCCTTCCCCGGCCGGTCCTCCGTCCCGTGGCTGCTTTGCTCTCGTCCATGGCAGCATCCCTCCCACAATCCTCAGAAGACGGCAAGATTGGGGCGGGACCCTCAGGATGCCTTTCGAGAAGCTTCTCGGTACCCAGGGCCTGGGAGCCTGCTCGGGAGTGGGAGGTGATGCTGGGCTTCACTACAGACTTAGAAGGTCTTTCGGTGCCCATCATAAACACCTCCTAGCCCCTAGGTCGCAGCTCAGGCTGTGGCCTTCTGTGGGACTGTGCTATCCTGGGGCCCTCGAGAGGCCTCAAGTGGAAGAGCTGGTGCCTACTGCCCAGGGGGCTTCATTGCTGTGTTTCTGGGGACTTGAAGAAGCTCACAAGCCCCTATACATTCTGCCCCCCCAGCCACTCCTCCCCACAAAGGTGGCACAGAGACCACCTATCTGATGGGCCGTACCTCCTCTGTCCTGGCTTCCTCACGGCACCTCAGGGCCAGGGCGGTACCCAGTGCAGGTCCCCTAGGACTCTCGAGGGGGCTGCTGCAGGGAGCTCTCTCTTAGTCAAAGGTCTCCTTCGCAGGGCCTGGAAGAACAGCCCTCTGAGGGTCACCATGAGGGGCCCTAGAAGGCTGTCTTCCTGGGAGGCTCTACCCACCTCTGCCATCAGCTGGGTGCCTGGGTCTTCACTCACTCCCATCCTTTCTGAGATTCCAGGACCCAGGGCTTCAGAGTCTGTTCCTCTGTCCCCCATGACCAGAGTGGTAAAATCTCAGGTCAGGTGGGACCCTGTCACCTGACCCAGTCAGGGGGTCTCTGCAGACCTGAGCAGACCAGCTGCCTACTCGGGTTGAATCCTGGGTGTTGTTCCCACTCACCCGTCCCCACCCTGCTGAGATTGGTCACTGGCCTTACTGACCTGCCTGGGCTGACCTGTGCTGGGGGCAGTCCCGCCTCTTTCTCCCTGGCCCTGCTGTTCTCATCTTTGGGCAGCAGCCCTGCATACCTACTGTGTGCCTGGCCTACCAGAAGGCAGGGCAATGCCTGTATAAGTCCCCGTATAGAAGCAGGGCAGATGGGAAAGAGCACACGAGCAGCCTTTGCCTGGCCTCAGACCTGCTGTGTGACTCAGGGAAGTTGCTTCACTTCTCTGAGCCTCGGCTTTCTTGTCTACACAATGGTCAGTCATCCCTGTGTTCACATAGCCTTCCTGAATTGTGACGAAGGCCGCGTGAGAGTCTGGGAAGGGACACAGACAGGCAGACAGATGGCCCTGGATTAGCGTGGCAGGTGCCGTGAAGAAGGGCACCTGACCCCACCTTGGCAGGGCCCCGAGGGCCAGGGAGGCTCCCAGAGAAGATGGCATCTGAGTGGAGGGTTGGTGGAGTTTCTTTCTTCATTAAGGAAAAGAAAATGCTTTTCTTCTTTACAAGGATAGTATTCAAACAGTACAAGAAAGAATCAGGCAGAAAGTTCGGAGCACACCTTCTCCAGTCCCACCCCCACAGTACTGTTAGAGTGGAGTGTGCTTCCAGACCTCACTCTGTCCTTACACAGAGGAAAACAGCAGTGCCACAGCACAGATGGCATCCCACATGTAGTTAACTGGGGTTTAGAAGAATAACTAAAGAAATGGGAAGGGCTTTCCTGGCTAAGGGGGCCTGTGGCATGGAGTGGGAGGGCATGCAACTCGCCAGGATCCACGAGGGGCTGAGTGCAGCTAGATTGTGGGTACGGGGGCCAGACCTTGAAGGATTTTGAGCATGGGACTATCTCATTCTGACTGAGAGTTTAGAAAAGACCCACTTTGGCAGCAGTGGCACCCAGGCTGCTGTGGGCGAGGAGGCCTGGACCGCGTGGCCAGCATGGAGAGTGAGAGGATGAGGAAGGTTGAGAAGTAACGGGCAGCTCTGGGATCCCTTTTCCCTCAGCGGACCCAGCCAGGCGGCTGCCACCAGCAAAGGGGAACTCTTCTCTGACTTTACTTCCCACATCAGTTGTCAGGCCTGTCTGAGTGTGACAGGCCCCGGGCATGGTGGCTTGCAGGGTGGGCCCTGGGCCTGGCCGGCCCCCGGGCCTTCCATGACTGTGAGCAGATGGCAGGTGACAGAGGAGACTCTCCATCCAAATCAGCTCCACCCTTCCTGCCAGTTCAAGGACAGCCTGTGCAACAGTCCCCCACTCCCACCCTGCATTCCCCCCCACTGCGTTTTCCTGGTGATAAATAGTGGCTTCCTGTTCTCAGAAAGCTGGGGTTTTCCTGTGGAGACCAGCATAGTGAACTGAGCGGCTGGTCGGCAGTGTCCTTACCCCACGGGACACAGTGCGGCCTGCCCAGCTGCTTGGTGGGACTCACTGTGTCCACCCTAGATTGGGTTCCCCCCAGAACACAACTGAGGCCGTGGGGTGAGCCATGGCCAAGCCCAAATTCCAGGTGCCCCCGGGCCTGGCGTCATCCTGCCCCCAGGCGTCTGGAGCATCCTGGGGCAGGTTCCCAAGCTTCCTTGTATTCGGAACACCCCCACTTCCCCCGCCCCCAAATCCAGCACCACAAAGACACGCATAGCAAGGCCAGGCAGGCTTTTGTACCAGGGGAATTTCTGCAGATGTTTCCTCTCCATCCCTCAGGATGTAACGCCTGGGATCTCTGCCACTGGCAAGGTGGAAACTGGAGCCCAGTTGGTGGTTGAGCCTTGTCCTCTGTCTCCCCACCTCTGAAACAGGATCTGCCATGGTGCTGAGGACAGGTCTCAGTTCCTCTCACATAGCACCGAAACCAGATGCTCAAATATCTGCCTCTCAGCTGGATCAGGGGCTGTAGGAGGGTGGAGGCCACATCCTGTGCATTTCTATCCCCAGCATGGTCCCTGGTATGTAATGGTGGCAGGAACGACAGTAGCTGACATCTACAGGCATTCACTAGGTGGATAAGGACGCGGGCTCTGGAGCCAAATCCCTGCATCCAAACCCCAGCTCTGCCACTTAGTAGCTGTAGGCAAGTTATTTAACCTCTCTGTGCCTCTCCTTCTCAAAATGGGTATTATAATAGTGCCAACCTCACAGGATTACCGTGAGGATTAAAAGAGTTAATATATGTAAAACTCTCAGCCTAGTTCCTGGTACCAATTATTAGCTTTCATCATCATCATCCTCATTATTATTTTTCATAGACATGTATTTTATTCGTTTATATAATTTAAAAATTTTTTAGCTTTATCGAGGTATAATTGACAAATAAAAGTTGTCAATTATTTAACATGTACATCATGGTGATTTGATAAATGTATACATTGTAAATAGATTCCTCACACCTGGTTAATTAACACACTCATCACCTTATTGTTTATTTATTTATACATAATTTTTTTGGTGAGAACATTTAAGTTCTACTCTTAGCAAATTTCAGTTATGCAATATAATGTTATCAACTATAGTAGATAATTATTCATTGTTTACTATGTGCTATATACACTAAGCCAAATGCTTTAGATAAATTATTTAATCCTCAAAACAGCTCCATTTCTCAGGGGAGGAAACCCGAAGCGCAGGGAGGTTAAGCAGCTTGCCCAGGGTCCCAACAGCTAGTCACCTGGAAGCACAGGTGCCAGCCCAGGCCAGCCCAGGCAGGTCTTTCCTCCTGGCCAGCAATGTGGAGGGACGAAAACAAACAGACTAGCCTTGGGCTTGGCAACCCTCTTAAGGAACCTCTTGTGTTTTCTTTGAAGGCTCAACTACAGGAATTATCTCTTGGAGTCTCCCCACAAGTACAGTGTCGCCGACCTCCAGCAGGTGAGATATCATCCCCGTAGAACTCTCCAGAGAGACCCCATTCTGGGGAAATCAGAAAGGGAGACGGGGGGGTGGTGCCTGAGTTTGCTGAGGCAAGACGGCCCTCTTCAGTTTCTCAGGACCTTGGAATGGGTGTCCCACTGTCTTTTGCTTTCTGGGGCAGTGAGTGAGCCCCCAGCCCTCTCCCAGAATAAGCAGGCACGCCAGCAAAGCCCAGGGTCACTGGGGTGCCTCAGCCCCTGCCCTGCATCTGGACTCATCCCTGGCTTGGAGGGCAGAGGGAGAAAAGGCCACAGGGCTGAGAGGTTGGGACATCCACTTCCTCAGGGGAAGGAACAGTGGGTTTGGGTCTCACCTGTCAATCCTGTTATCCCCAGGATGCACAAGGGCTGGACGTCTGCATTGCTCGGCCTGATTCAGGGGGGATTTCTTGCCCAAGTGGAAAGACACTTCTGTTGGGGTACAAGTCCTCAGGCAGGGTGCCATGGGCAGCAGCAGGCCATGTTGTGCAGATGGCCACAGCCTCAGCACAGCTGCCTAAAAGGCCTGCACTTGCCCTCACAGATTGCAGAGGGGGTGTATGAAGGATTCCTCAAGGCCCTCATCGAATTTGCCTCCCATCACGTGTACCACTGCGACCTGTGCACCCAGCGTGGCTTCATCTGCCAGATCTGCCACCACCATGACATCATCTTCCCCTTTGAGTTTGACACCACAGTCAGGTATGTGGGACACCCAGCCAGCCACCCCACCTTCACCCCCACCCACAGCTGGCCCCAGTGTTCCAGGGTGGCAAGCCCTGCACCATTATTCAAGAGCACAGAACAGCCCCTCTGTGCCAGTGCCACGGAGCGGTGAGGTTGTCCAGAGCAGCTGACACCCTGGGCAGTCATGACCAGCCCTAGTCCAGCTAGGGACAAGACAAGCCCTCACAGAGCTCCCCTGCTTCTCCTGAGCTATCATCTTCCTGGAGACAAGGTGGCTGCTGGCTCTGTCAGTGGGAGGCCTCCCTGGGCCTCAGTTTTGTCATCTGAATGGATTGAGGAGGGACTGAATGAGTTACTGTCCTGGAGAGTTGGCATAAGGCCCAGCACAAAGCGGGTACCTCGTAGGTGGTGCCTACCCCTGCCTCTGCTCCTGTCATAATTGTTCTTGTCCCCAGTTGTTGCTCATTACCAGAAGCTGTTAAATGAAAAAATTCATCAAACCTCCATTCCAACCCGTGTGGGAGTGGAAACCTGAACTGGTGGGAGCATTAATTCATTTTCAGTAGGTGTCCCCTGGCCCGGATTCAGCCCCTGAACAGACCTAGAGCTGAGTTATTTAAACTGCAGAGTGCCTTAAACATAGGAAGAAGTCATTTAGTGAGTCTCAGCAGATTTATAAAAATGAAAGAGAGAGTACCGTGTGTATCACGCGACCTAGGGGAAGCATTGCTGCAAGGCTCTCTCGTCCCGGGAAGGAGAAGTAGCGCCCACATGCCTGTGGTTGTGGGTAGAACACAGCCTGACCGCGGGGTCTGATCATGAAAACTAGCCAGCCTCAGGTCCCAGGGGAGGCCTCCGGCCCATTGGCACAAGGAGCACTTGCCGCTTCCTCCCAGGTGCAGTGAATGCAAGACCGTCTTCCACCAGAGCTGCCAGGCCGTGGTGAAGAAGGGTTGCCCCCGCTGTGCCCGCCGGCGCAAGTACCGAGAACAGAACACTGTCGCCTAACCCAGTCTCCTGTCCCCACCTGGAAGGCCTCAGGGTGAGGGTTCAGCTCAGCCATACCAGCTGGGTTTGCCCTCAGCCAGGCTACTCTCTCAAGGTGTCACAGCTGTCTCCCTTGTCAGGAAGACTCTCAGATGTGACCAGAGCATGAGCCTACCAGAGGGAGCCCTTGATGATGTCCCCTGCACTTTCACATCTGCTCCAGGAAGTGGGAACACCAGCAGACGCCCCCTGTCTGGGGTGTGGGGGTCTTTGCTCTAATCAGGCCCTGGCTCACTGTGCTGATGTGGCACCTCCCGCAGGGCTGTTCCCACGCTGTGGAAACAAGACTTTGCAATTCCACGTTCCTGATTAAAAGGTCTAGTTTTTTAAGGTGGGGTTTTTTTCCCTTCATATTTCAACAGAAATTATTTTTTTATTCTTAATCCTACACTAGTCACCCAAGTAATCCAGGCATTCTCACCCTGAGCAGATGCGCAGCAACTGCTCAGGCCTGGTCCGCAGGCGGGTGGGCAGCTGGGCGGGCAGGCCACCCCTGAGACAGAGCCCGTCAGCGGGACCAGGTGCCTTTCCTTCACTTGCCAGGCGCTCGCTGCCAACAGCTCGAGCGCAACGTGCCAAACTGCCCATGAGGCCAGGTGGGGTCAGTCCCGATGACCACCTGCTTCCTCCCCGTCTCTACTCTCTGCCCTCATCCTCCCCACCTGAAAAGCCCATCACCTTTCTTCATGTCAGAGCCCCCTGGCTCTTCTGTAGCCTGAATCTTGGTCCCTGCAGGAGAAGGGGGATGATTCGGAACCAGCACTGTCAGCACTTTGCACCTTCCTTAGTCCAGGGAAGGGCTGTCACCTTGCCCACTGCCCTGCCCCATGCCCTCCTCAGCTCTTACCACACACAAGCAGCCAGATGGACAGGGTGCTGCTGCAGATGCTCTCAGGGGACCCACCTCCACCTGACGGACCCCTGCTGGGACAGAGGAAGGCTGGACACACAGAAAGGGCAGCAAGTGCCAGCCCTGCCGCTGAGATGTGCAGGGACCTGTGGGAGAAGCACCTTGTGGAACGATGCTTTATCTCAGTTTACAAAGCCATGAATTCACACAGCTTTGCTGGACTGGCCCAGGAGGGGCACTGCCAATGACTAGAAAATTTCTTTGGAGCACCATTGCCTTTTGAGAGGGTCTTGGGATGGGGTGGGATTCTGGAATTGTTTTTAATGTGATATTTAGACCCCTGGGGTGTGGGGGAATTCTAGGCATGATTTCTCTGCTGCCTTCCCCTACCTCTCCTGGACCCAGCAGCCCTGGGATCCTCTGGCCATCCTCTCTGCGCTCAGCTTGGATTGGGGCCCTCAAGTGGAGATCCACCTGTCACTGTCAAGAGATGAACCTACTCCCACCTCTCCCTTGAGGTGATTCGTCTGCTGAGTCACCTGCCCAGCCCTGTGGAGCTGGATAAATTGTGCAATAGAACAGAGGAGGTACTAGGTAGGTGGGGGAGAGGGCTGTCACACAGCTTCTCTGTCCCCTCAAGGAAGATGGTGCACACCTGTGCCTGGTACACCAAAGCCTCCGGAACCGGAAAGTGGATCCTTATCCCCATCCCACGCCCTCACAGCAGCATTAATGCTCCAGCACAAACAGCCTGATCAGAGCCGGAATCGCCCAGAGCCCTGAGTGGGCAGGAGCTCAGCCTGGGGTGGGCAGTGCCACTTGAATCTGGCCTTGTTTCCTTGGGCCTGTGAGTACATTCTATGTTCCAGAAGATCTGCCCTAGGAGGTGGCAGGAGTGTGGCCCTGGAAGAGCTCGCTTCAGTCCCCCCTACTCCTACCCTCCTGGTGATTAGTAGCATTAGAGCTGACCCTCTCCTCTTTACCAAAAGCTGCTGATGCTTTCAAATGAAGTGACTTTTACCCCCCACCCCCACTACCAACGGAAAGCTGATGTGAACCTCAGAAGTGGCCACACTATTTTTAAAATGTTGAGTTATGCAATAAACTGCAATGAGGGGCCTTGGCCCCAAGGAGTGCTTTGCAATGTATTGAAGAAACTGCTGCCATGTGATTTTTGAATGATTTTGCAGTAAAGATCTGATCTTTCTAATCTCCGGCCTTGCTTCTGAATCTTAATGTTGCCACTGACTTGGGGAGACCACGGGTCAGCCATTACCATCTGAGAGGGCTCCACTCTCCTTCACTCTCCCGTTAGTCCCTAGGCACGGGAAGGGGGAACAGTTACAAGCAGGGGGCGTGAAGGAGAGGAAGTAACAAGCTAGTCTATAGCTACCCTTGCTACTCTGAGGAAGCAGGGACCCTGTAGGGCCAGATTTCAGGGGCTTTGGGAGGTTTACTCAATTACACCCATACGTAAAGTAACAACTGAAGCTGATGCCTGACATTCCACCACAATGACTTCTTTCCTGTGCCTTAAATGTCAAAGCACAGACTCCTGACACGAACGTGTGAAACCTTGGACTGTATTTCCCACTGGGCTGAGAGAGAAGGGTCTCAGGAAGAATGGGCAGTTAGTGCAGGGTCCCTAATTCAGGGTATGTGGTTTGCGGGCTCAAAGTGGCATTTACTTGGCTGCAGATCTTCCTCTGAAATTCCAGGAGAAGTCTAGGGGGTTCCTGCAGGGAGAAGACCACCACTGCCCATTGTGTGGACAGAAGAAAGAAACAGACTAACCCGCAAGGAAATCAGGTTGCAGGAAAATGGGGCTGAAAAAGATGACATTCAGGTCTGCAGTTTCCTGTTCTTTCAGCCCTCTGCCCATCCCATGAGCTCAGCTCACTTCCCTCCAGGAGGCAGTAGGTGGTGGGCTTCAGGAATGTAAGAGAAACCTGTTTTGGGGGGTGGTGTTTGGCAGGCCCACCAGAGGTCCAGGGACATGTGACCTACCTTGCCTTTGGACTCTGCCTTCATCCTCAGCAAAGTGCCTCTGAGGACACCTGTCCCCCTCCCCACCAAAGGAGGTCTGGAGACCTCAGTCCAACCCCAAAGAGGACACCTCCTCTCATAATAAAAGTTGTGATAATCATAACTAATATATTGTGTGTTCTTACAATAATTGTTCTTGGTGGATCTCTTTTAATCTTCCCAACAATCCTATGAAGTAGGTGTTACTGTCCCCATTTACAGGAAAGAAAAACAGACGCAGCGATTCGGCGAGGATCTTGAGTCCAGCCCCAGGAGGTTGCTCTGAGGTTACCCTATAGACAGATTGGAGGGTGGCCCTCCTCCGCGACGAAGATCAAGGAGGGGGTGGGGATCAAGCAGTGGGAGGGAAATCTGGCCAGAAATTAGTGCGGAGGCTCCTTGCCCCCTTATCCCACCGTCCTGGTCCTGCTGCCTCCACCTCGGGGGAGACTGCCAGGTGTGGCCCAGGATCCCAAGAGGTGCAGGGGGAGGGGTGGCGTCTCTGCTCCTGGGGCGCTGGCCCGGCCCAGAGGGGACAGGAAGCCAGGACACCGGGGATTGTCTCTCGCAGCCGCAGCCCAGCCCCAGCCCGGGAGGAAGTTCTGCCGGGTGCTCTCCGCTGGTGCCTCCCTCGCTATATTGTTGAACAGGAAACCCGGCAGCGCGGGCGCTGAGCGGTGGAGGAGGGAGCGCCGGACGCCGAGCCCACGCGCGCCTGCCGGCACAAGTGGAGGCGAGGCTAGCGAGTGGACACCCCGAGGTGCCAGAGCCGCGCCGGACCGGGAGGGGGCTGCTGAGCCAGGGGTAGTGGCTGGGGTGCCGCAGGTGGCGGGTCCTCACCCGGGAGCACCCGGCGCCTGCCCGCGTTCGCACCGCGCTGGGACGGGAGCTGCGCGGGCCCGGGGGAGGCCGTGCGGGACGGGTCCCCCCGCCCATCGGGAGAACGGGAGAGGCGAAGGGCGGCCCCCGTCTGGGGGCAGGAAGGGCCCCAGCGCCGACCCAGGCGTTGGCGCCGCTGTGGCTCGCGTCGCCGGAGCAGTGGACGCAGGGAACCTCCTGGCGAAGGGTTCGTCCTCGAACTCCAGGGATCCTCCCCGCTCCCCGCTTTCCTCCCCTTCTCTTCGCTCTTCCAGGGTCAGGGAAGGAGACGAGGCCCGGGTATCCTCCCCCCTGGGCCCAAGCTCCTGCGCTCTGGTGTGCGTCTCTGCCGTGGGAACCCTCTCCGAGCTTTTCCAGGCCGGGCTGAGCTGCTCCGGGACAGGGCCTGGGGGAGGGCGGAGGTGGGCCCGGAGCCGGTAGTGCCTGCAATCCGGCTGGAAAGGGCTTGTAGTTGGTGATTCAGAATGCAAGAGGCCTCGCTCAGATTGGGAACGCCCGGGCGAGACAACCAGCGCAGGTCGAGCAATCCCCGGGACGCAGAGGCTTGCGGACAGCAGATCCCTCGTGGGGGGCGGGGGCAGGGTAGGGGCAGGACAATACCTTCCCTAGGCTCTGCTTGCGACCTGCTAGCGCCGCTTCAGTCACAGCCCTCCCTGCCACTGCCCCTCCCTCATGCCTTCTCTTGCTCCGGGCCCCGCTTCCAATGTCCTCACCGGCCCAGACTCTTTCAGGCTCCTCCTCGCCCCTCCCAGATACAGCTGCTTTGGTGATTGGGAGCAGCCCTCCTGAGGGTCCCTCTCCCTCTTTGCTTCCCTTGCCAGCTCCTGCCCCGCGAGGTCTCTCTAAGTCTAGCCCTTGGAAGCCCCGCCCAACGAGATGGCAGGGGACTAACCTGCGTCCATCCGCCGGCTCCGCCCATCCAGCCCATGGGCTCCCAGCCGCCCGCCCTACCGTGGTGAGTGAGCCGCGGGAGGTGGAGGGGGTGGGCAGGAGGTGAGGAGATGGGGTGTCCTCGCGGCTTTTGTTGGTTTAGCTCCTGGCAGCTCACCGACCCCACCTCCAGGGCCGCGTGTGCTTAGTGACTCAGTTTACACCTCTTCTCTCATCGAGGAAAGCTTGAGAAAGTAGAGAAGGAGCGCTATGCGCCCTGCGGCAGGACCCTGTTACTTGGCTCCCTCAGCCTCAGCAAGCAACTGAGCTCCCAACTGCTGGTTCCTGGCCACCTTTGTGGGGCAGAAGGTGTGGTCAGTGTGAAGGCTTGAAGGGACCGATCATTTCCGGAGGAAGCCATGGACGCCTCGCTTTGATGGAGGGACGCAGGCAGATTTAGTTAGGCTCTGACCCCCTCCCACACCAGGAGCCAGGCTGAGCCGGCATGGAGTGAGTGGGGTTTGTGATGATCACTCCAGTAGAACTATGAGGATCTCGGAGACACCGCATGGGTAGTCACTGACACAGTGCGTTCTCTAGGAGCCCCTCTCATGTGGCAGTATAGAGATCGCAGGGCTTGTAGGCAGGCCACAGGGGGTGCGGAGGTGGAGGTGGGAGCTGGAGAGCAGGGGCGGTGCGGGCCGGTCTGGGCGGGCGGGGCTCCAAGTTTAGGTCTGCGGCGCAGTCGCTGGGGGAGGAAAAGAAAAACCGAGAGAACCGGTTCCCAGGCGCTCGCAGTCGCGGCCCCTTACGCCCAGGCTCTTAGACTAAGCAGAGAAGGGATACTCCCAGGGTAGAGCGGCGCGGGGCCGCTCCCAGAGCTGGCGCCCCAACCCTGACCCTTCCGGCCCGGGGCACAGACGCCTGGAGGGAAGAGACACTGTGGACGCGGATTCCCTGAGGGCTGCAGGTGTTAGGACGGGACGGCGCGGGGAATGGGCTGTTCTTTCCACGTCACAGACCGGGAAACTGAGGCCCAGTCAACTTTTAGGCAAATTGTGGCGTCGACTTTATCGCGGGCAATCGCCCCATCTGAGCCAAAGCGTCCCTAGCTGTAAAATTGGACCAGTATTACCCATAATCTCCACCCCAAGGGATTGAAGTGAGGCTCAAATTTAGTAACCAACGCCACAGAATGAAAGCATTGTCCTAATTCCATCACTGTTATAAGAATGCGAACCTAAGTGATTATTTTATCCAAGTCTCCCGTTTTAGAGACAGGAAAACTGAGGCCTAAATTTACACGACGAATACAACTTCGGGACTCGGAATCAAGGTCTTCTCTAGTGCTGTGAGCTTCCCGGCTCCGTGGACCTGACCTCCTTGCTCCTCCTTGCTGTCCACAGGGAGAGGCCGTGGCCGCGATGGCTGCGGACGTCGAGGGGGACGTGTACGTGCTGGTGGAGCACCCCTTCGAGTACACGGGCAAGGACGGACGCCGCGTCGCCATCCAGCCCAACGAGCGCTACCGGCTGCTGCGCCGCAGCACAGAGCATTGGTGGCATGTGCGACGAGAGCCTGGCGGACGCCCCTTCTACCTGCCGGCACAGTACGTGCGCGAGCTGCCGGCGATCGGCGACCCTGTCACCGCCCCGCCGCTGCCCGCGCCTCACCCCGGCCCTGCAGCCCCGGAACCGCTTGCCTACGACTACCGCTTCGTGAGCGCGACGGTGCCCACAAGCTCCGACGGCACGTCCACCGAGCCCCGCGGTCGTGCGGGCTCCCTGTGTGGCCCTGCGCTGCGTGGCGCGGCGACCCAGCACAGCAGCCTGGCGCCGGGCCTGCCCACCAGCTTGTACACGCGGCCTGCTGCGCGGGTGAGGCCCACGCAGTCCCTGGACGACCTGGCGCGCGCCGCCGCCGCGCCCCCTGCCGGCCTCCTGGGGAGCGACGGCCGCTTCAAGGCCTGCAGCGTGGCGGGCTCCTGGGTGTGTCCGCGGCCCCTGGTGCGCAGCGACTCTGAGAACGTGTACGAGGCCATCGAGGACGTGCGCGGCCCGCCGCGAGAGGAGCGCCCCGGGCAGGTACACCGCTGGGAGCGGGTAGCCGGAGGCGGGCGGGGGAGACCCACTCGGCTTGGCATCGGGTTCAATGCGGAGCAGCAATATCCGCGGGTTTTGGATCAGCTCCCTCACACCGAGCCCCACTTTCCTCAACCACGAAATGAGGGGTACAGGCTCACAATTTCTCACCTGCAATTCCGAAGTGCCAAAACTCTCTGGAACCGAAAGATTTTTCGTAATTCAGTTGATGACTTGAACTGATGTGAGACCATTGATGGTCTTTTTTTGTTGTTGTTACCCCATTTAGTGTGAATATTCAAATTTTGCTGCATAAATGCAAATGAACTTGATTAGAGCCAAGCTGGGAGCGTTATGTCAACTAATAGCAGGTGTCTGCGCCGTAGTGCCTTTCTAAAATCCGAACCACTCTGAAACGCATCTGGCGTGAAATAGGGGATTGTGGGCCTGCATCTGGTTCTCACCTGCTTCGCCTTTCTTCCTGGAGTTTGGGTGTTCGGACGAGATAATGGTTAAGAAAGTCAGGTTCTGCTTCCTTTTTGGCTGCTTCCAACATTTCAGTTCCCTCTTTAAAAAAAAAAAACTTGTTGGGTTTATTTCAGAAAGAAGTCCAGTTATAGTATTTTCTTTCTCAAATGTTAATTTGAGAAATCGAAAATAGAACATGTTTTAGAAACACTCTTATCCTCAGAATTCTGCCGGCGGCTCTGGGGTCTTGAACTTTAGGAACTTTTCGGAGGGGAGAGGAGGAGAATGCAGACCCCCTGTGACATCTGCCACCAGCGGAATAATGGTGGGCAATTCACTCCCTCTCTCAGAGTCTGAGTTTGTCCTTTAACCCAAAGTGGTGAGGAAGGGGGCTGGATGGCCCTTGAAGCTTGTGAGGCTCTGATTTCTTTCTTTGTACTTAATGTAGTTACAATAAACATTGATGCCTACCACGTGCCAGGACAGAGTCCGAGATGTACAGAGGAAGGAGGCACGGTCCCAGTCAGCCAGCTCCTCAGTCTTCCTTCTGCCGGTCTGGTTATAATGCAGAGCTCGGGATTTGAGGGTACAGAGAGTCGAATTTGACTCCGCTGGGTCACTGGCCAGCTGCTGACGAGCCACTTAATTCTCTCAGCCCTAGTGTTCTCGTGTGCAAAGGCAGGACAATACCTAAGGATTAAGGTTGTTGATAGCTTTCAACAAGGTGAGGTGTGGACGAGCGTGGCACGTAGTAGGCTGTCCACCAAGACTAGCCGGAGTTCCACTTGGTATCCGATGTCCTTTCCTCCGGCTCTGCGCGGCCTTCGCGCCGGTTTCTGCAGGGGGCAGCTCGCCCCCTTGTGGCTAGAGCGGAGAACAGCATCCGGCGGGTGGGGATGGGGAGCCGCGACTGGGCCTAGGGAGTGTCGGCCGGGAGTCCGGGGGGTGAGGGGCGGGGACCGTGAGATCCTGGTGACCGGAGCCTCTGCCGGCCAGCCGGACTCTGGGATAGATGCCTGGATGTCTGCGCTCCTTCTCTCGGCGCCCCTCAGTTCTCGGCGGCGCGCTCTGGGCCTCTCAACATTCTCTGTCCTGGTGATGGTGGGAGTGTCTGTTCCTCCAAGGTGAGCTCCTCGAGGTGGAGGACTGGCCTTGCCTTCTGAACCCCCGCCTCCCGCACAGGGCCTGGCCCAGAGCGTGTGCAAGAGTATGTTGAGGGGCAGCAGCGCCCTTTTCCCTGAGTCCCGGCTCTGCAGGTCTGCCCAAGGGACACCACCCCAGAGCCCAGGACCAGGGCGGAAGAAGGAGTAGGAGAAGACCCCAAACCTGGGTACTTCCTGAGAAGAGAAACCACTCCAGCAGCCATGGGCGCTGCAGGGTGGTATCTTTGCTCCGCCCTCCCCCAGCTTCTAGCAGTTGCAGTGGTGTGTTGGGGGAGGGGGACCCAGGTGATGGTGGAGGTGGTGCCTCCTCAAGAAGGAACAGGCATCTGCCAGAGACTTGGGTGTTGGCAGAGAGGCTCTGCCTGGTCCCACTTGTGTCCTTAATGCACTGTGTGACCTCAACAAGTCGCTTAGCATCTCTGGTCCTGTTTCATCCCTGTGTAATAGGTATAATACCACACTCCCTGTACTGCTTTCTTCAGGTGTCCGCTGTAGGCCTTCCTGACAGCCCATCCCCAGCACACCTCAGGAGTGGGGAGTTGGTTCTCTCCTGGGAAGGAAACCCCACTCTGCTCTTAGTTGTTCAAAGCAGCGTTTAGAGAAGGAATTTCCTGAAAGGTGAGCCTGCCTGTTTTCCTCTCGGAGGAGGCAGGAGAAGCAGGTCCTACCCTTCCCCGCATTCACTAAGTATGAATTGGTTGAATACCTGCCAAGTGCCAGATGAGTCTTCGATTCTACAGGTGACCGAGGCATAGCTTCAGCCCTGGGGAGGTCGCTGTCTGGGACAGGAGGCTGGCAGGAGGGTACAGATGCCTCAGCCCAGGATGGCACAGGCTGTTTGTGATAGAGGTGCATAGGTGGAAGTATAAGATGTGGCACCTTTGAAGCCTTGCAGCCCCACCCCCACCAGGAATTCGGACTTTACCCTGCAGCTGTTGGAAGGCTCTCAGCAGAGAGGGGAGTGGGGTTGAGAAAAGACCCCTGTGGTGGGGGCTTCAAGAATGGCTGACCTTCGTGGTCTCCCGGACATCTGGTGATGACAGGAGATTTGGGAGGGAGACTTGGTAGGACCTGGTGGCTGATAGCTGATGGGGGATGGGTGGGTGAGAGAGAAATCAAAATGAGCTCCAACCTCCCGGTTGGCACACTGAGGGGGCGATGGGGAGCAGAAGGAGGGAGGAACAAGGCCGAACCTCTTTGGCGCTGCTGAGTTCAGGAGGCGGTTGGATAGCCGAGTCTGCCGCCCAGAAGAAGGCCTTTGGCTTGTGATGCCG